CCCTTTGTTTCAAAAATTCCTAACTTCCAAATTAGAGCAGACACCAACTTGAAACTCGCACACGCTATAAAAGACACCAAAAGTGCTGAAAATTTCATGGATTTCGGCGTTGAGAAGGAATCTTGGGATTAAAGAATGGCAACATTTCAACTACTGTTTATTTCTTACCTTTAACAAATATATAAAAAATAAATAAAATACATTTTTACAATTTACACAAAAATACTCTAAGAACTAGTTCGCGTACGTGTAACACAAACAATTTGCTCCCTTAAATGCGTAGCTACAGCGCTCGATCTAGGGGGGCGCTACGGGGGCTTTAGCCCCGAGCCTCGGTAAGATCTATATTGCGGCCGCTGCAGGGATCGTAGCCCCGGGCCCTGCCCCAAGTTAATCCGACCTTAAGTACAAAACATACAAAAATGACGCTCGAAATACGCAAGCGAGCGTTAAGTAGATCGTCTGCAACGAAAAACCAGCTTGAGTATCGCGAGATTGTCGTGCAAGATCTTCTTTTAACGAAGACCTGTATTCGAGTGCTCCTATCTACGTGCAATGGTTGTTGTTGATCTTCTTCACCTCCCCATTGTGGGAGGCGCTGACTTTGGCCGCAGGAGTTCCATCGAGAGTGTCGGGCAACGGTTGGAGGCCAGTTTCCGGCAGGAACAGCACCGAGGCGCCTCCAACGATTCCAAATATCGAAATCACCAGCAGCGGCAGCGACTTGTGCAAGCCAGTCTGCAACAGCACCGAGTGAAAACCCGGCAAACCCACCGGCACAAAACTCACCAATTCCCACAAATATGGAACCAGCATCAGAGCGATTCCTGCTGGCACGTTAGCAGCGCCAACCCCAATGTTCCGGATGATGGTCGGGTAGAGTTCGGCCGTGTAGACTGGCATGATGGCATTAGACGAGCTGATGCAAAACTTGCTGGTCATCATGAAAGTGGTGATGAGCCACTGCATGTCGTTTGATATCCAGGAGACTGGAATGGCCAGAGCGGCGAAAATGCCCGAAACAATCATAGTTAGGGCCAGAGGCCAACGGCGTCCGCCTTTGATCAGAATGAGGATGCTCAGAGCCACTGCTGGCACCTCAACTATGCCGATCAAGACCTAAAAATCGCGCAGTTCAACTGGGGTTGAACCAAATGAGGATATTACTTACAGAGTTCACGTACAAGTCCCCTCCGAGGTTGCCGAGATTGAGTACCAGGCCGTAGTACACCAAGTAGACGCCGAACCAAATCAGGCACAGAATGAGGGTTTTTTGCCTCATCGCGGCCGTTTTGAACAGATCCAGGACGCCGACGTTTTGGTTCTCCTGCTGATCCAAGTTGGCCAGCGGAACCAGCGATTTGTCCAGATTAGCGGGCAGTTCCTTCTTGTTGAACCGGGCCGCATCTTCCAGGATCTTGAGCACCTCTTTCGTGCGGCCCAGCGCCAGAAGCCATCGAGGCGATTCGGGGAGAATGAACCTGGAAATGCCATCAGGATGTTAATGCGAAAAGAACGGGTTTTGGCCGCTAAGCGTGTGGAAACTCGCATGTGATTTTTTTTTTTTTTTGGTGCAGTGGAGGTCGATGTTTTCGAAAACTGAAATCTCCAAATGGCCGTAATGGGGAGACTACCGGGGTCGAAAGCAGTAAAAACGCATGCCAAAAAAGAGGAAGAGAGCAATCTCTTCTGAATGCTCAATTTTCTAAAGTTTCCCTTAAAAGTGCTGACAATTTCAAGGGATTTTCCGCTCAAAATTATGAAATAAATTTGGAATTGCTGCTTTTCGCACGAGTTCGGACGAAAACGCATCGGCCCACAGACTGCACACGAACGGATCGCAGTCCACACACTGTTATAACGCATTATTTGGCATAATCTTGCACCTAAGTGTGTGATATTCAAATTTCGCTTTCTGGGTCAAAACTAGTGGATTTTGCAAATCAAAAAAAAGCTACGCAAATCTAAAACTTTTTGAATTCAAGCATTTTTTGAAAAAACTGCCAACATTTCCCCATCCATGGTTCACTTTCTAAAAAGGCGATTTATTTCTGTCTAGAATGATGTACAAATGAGCGTTCTTGCTCATTTTACCTCCGAGATATGAGCAAAAAGGGGACGGAAAACATTAAA